AACGTGGAGATATCAAACAGCCCTCTGAGCTCGGCCTCCGGCAGCTGGAAGTCATTACGCCCCCCTCCCCCTCGCAGCCAGCAGTGTTTTTACCACTCGGGGCTGAGCAGAGCGACGCCCTGGTCAGTCAGAACAACTCAAACACAAACCCGCCCGAAAACAACAGAAAGGAAAGCTACGTGCGGACAGATTTAGACCTGAACCGGGTCAGAAACCGACGGAGAACCGCTCGGCACATGTTCAGGACTAACAGTCTGGACATGAAAACACGGACCTGAGGTCAGTCTGAGCACAAATAAGGAAACAAACTTAGTGCCGGACCCCAAACAGCCTCACACAGTTTGACTGCCAGGGGATGAAGATTAGGGGGAGAACTGGAGAGCTTCTGGTCTCCATGTCTGACCAGAAGCTCCTTATCGTTACCAGTCTGTGTTTCTGGCTCTAATGCTATGAGTCAGACCTCCAACTGAGAACAAACACTGACTCACTGCTTCCAGAACTGGCTCCTGGTAAAGTTTACATCCAGTAAAGCGGAGAGCGGCTCTCACTGGTCAGCAGGACGACATGCTAAACCAGTTTAAGAGCAGCAGCTCCCATTAAACCAGGCCCACAAAGAGGAACTGGAGCAAAAATGCGCAAATGTTTCTGAAACACACTTCCAATAAATTCACCCCGCTGAGTTCAAACAGAACGAGCCGCGGGAAGCTGAGTGAGAATGTGGTCCGACTGCCAGAGAGGCTCTGGCTGCTTTATCTCCAGAGGTTCCTGTCCCGTCCAGCAAACAGAGCATGAGATAAGACAACAGGAGGGTTCACAGCTCGGACAAACTGCCCTGTTCTCCAGGCTCTGACAGGACTGTGGAGCACAAACTAAACCTTCTGTCACCTCCAAAGGGACTTTTACTGATCATTGGATTTATAAACGTCAAATAATAATAACTAATACATGCTGTTTGGCACCAAATTCCACAAGAAAAAAGATTTGAAAGAATAACATTGAGATCTTTGTATGGCCTTCAGTGAGGATTCTCCCAGGTGGTGGAGGGTGTCCTTATTGTGGCTCTCAGCTCGTTCATTGAGGAGACAGTCTGAGGTTTTGTGAAAATATTTTGCAGTGTTACAAGTTGCTATGGCAACTCGGTAGCAAAGCACAAGCTGCCGCGGCTGAGCTTCTCCTCATGGACAGCACCTGTAGATGGGCTGGACTGGAGAGCTGCTTCACATCTGGAGCTGTAGGTGGTTCATTCCCTAACCCTAAACCTAAATAACCCTAACCCACCCTAACCCTAACCATAACTAACCCTAACTAACCCTAACTAACCCTAACCCACCCTAACTAGCCCTAAACCTAACCCTAACTAGCCCTAATCCAAATCCTAACCCACCCTAACCCTAACTAACACTAACTGACCCTAAGCCTTACCCACCCTAACCCTTACTAACCCTAACCCTAAACCTAACTAACCCTAACCCTAACCATAACTAATCCTAACCCTAACTAACCCAAACCCACCATAACTAACCCTAACTAACCCAAACCCACCCTAACACCAACTAACCCTAACTAACCCTAACCCTAGGTTGCTGCACTCTGCAGCCTGAAGTCGCCCAAATCCCATCTGATGTGATATCCTCATCTATTTTGGGTCTTTCAGGTTTCCAGATACATGCGAGTGGTGTGTGGTTCCTGTGTTTGCTGCAGGTGAACCTGAAGGAATGGGCAGCATGGTGGTGTGGTGGTTAGCACCGTCGCCTCCCAGCAAGACGGGTGAACCAGGGCCTTTCTGGGTGGAGTTTGCATGTTCTCCCTGTGTCTGCGTGGGTTCTCTCCGGGTTCTCCGGCTTCCTCCCACAGTCCAAAAACCTGCATGTTAGGTTGATTGGAGATTGGGGAAATTGCCCTTAGGAGTGAATGTGAGTGTGAGTGGTTGTTGGTCCTTGTGTGTCTCTGTGTGTGGCCCTGCGATGGACTGGCGGACTGTCCAGGGTGTACCCTGCCTCTCGCCCGTTGACCACTGGAATAGGCTCCAGTTCCCCCTGCGACCCCATCAGGGAATAAGCGGTATTGATAATGGATGGATGGATGAAGGAAGGATGAAGGAGTCATCATGCAGCAGAGGAGGCAGCAGCTGCTCAGCGTTTGCTTTTCAGGAAACAGGTGACACCTCCACCACTGAGTCCTTAGGCTCCTCATATTTAGCCCAGAGGCTCTTTACTGTCTTTGGCTTTAGAGCTGGAACCTTTAGAGCCACGCTCGGCCGGTTCTGATCAGACCTCTGGTCTGGATGGAGCCGTCCCTAAAACACAAAATAACTCCCGAACCGCCTTCTGTCCACTGGCTGGTCTCCACCTCACCATGGTTGGTGTGTTTCTGGGGCGCAGCAGGACACAGAAAAGTGGTGTTCGTGGAGGATCAGCGACCTGCAGGTCGGATGAACGAGACCTGGCTGTTTAGAGAACGTTGGATCCGAATCGGGTCCAGGACCAGATGTGGCCTGGGTCGCATATGGAAAAACCCCATGTGTTCAGACTGTCAGGAAAGAGTCCAAAACAGGTCACATTAGGGCAAAATGTCAGATTTGGGTCCCCTTCAGCCTCAGTGTGAACGCAGCCTTCGGTTAAGGGAACGGAGTGGTCATCACCCAGGTCCAAATCCCACAGGAGGACCTGCACTGGGCATATCTGCTTTATATGTGAGATAATTAAACCTTTGTTGTCATTGAACACATACAACAAAACTGAAAGTGCAAATAAATAACTACAAATAGCTCTGAATAGCTTTGACAACAAACATTTGGCAATGCAATCCCACAGTAAAGTGGTTCTGGGGTAGGAACCTTTCTTTAGCCTGATTGTTTGGCCTTGAATTGTCCTGTACTGTCGGTGTCCTGTCATGTTCTTTGACTTTCCATCCTTCAGCACCCTGTAGCTTCCCAGTTTGAGGGGCAAGCTTCTGGGTAAGGGGTGCCCCCCTCCCTGACATGGCTAATTACCGACTACTGACTGCCAGACCACAATATGTCAGGATGAGGAGATGTGTTTCTAGAATCCTAGACTGCAGTACTGGGGTTTAGCTGGTTTTTACCCTGTACTCCAGCTCAGAGTCCTGCCACAGACAGCTGTTTCCTAATGATACAGCTGTTGTGGCGTGTATGGCATGTATTTTGTCTCAGACCACTGAAAGGCCAGTCTTTAAGCAGGTCATTGTGCCTCTCACCAAAGGGTTTAAAAGTGGCCGCTCCACTGAAAAGCTCTGAAGGACCTCCTTCTGTCTGTACTCTCAGAATGGGCATCACAGGCCGTTCACCATCCTGGTTTGGATCTACCTCACTGGTCCATCATTCAAAGTATCCTGGCTTGGTCACACTTCTGCAGAGCACCATCTGACCACAGGAGTTCCCCAAGGTTCAGTACTGGGACCTCTTCTCTTTGCCATAACACCTCCTCACTGGGCCAGATCATCCTATCACATGACTTCTCATCCCGCTGCTATGCTGACTACACTGAGCTCTATCTGCCATTCCCACCTGACATGGTCTGGTATCTCAGACCATCTCTCTGACACCTCGAAAAGGATGAAAAAGCCCATCGCCTCCAACCAAATCTCTCTAAAACTGAACTGCTCATCTTCCCAAACCATCCATAAACCTCTAGTGTTCACATGCAACCTGAATCCCTGTCTCTGCTCCATCAAAGGCAGCTTGAAACTATCCCAATAGATCCCCAGCTGACCCTTAAAGATCGTGTTTCCTCTGCTGCTCGATGGTGTTGCCTTACATGACTAAACATAAGAAAGACCAGGCCATCCCTAAACCCAACATGCCCCCCAGCTCCTGTTCAGTCTCTGTTCATCTTTCTCCTGATTGGTCTCCCAGCCTGTACTGCGAAACCTCTACAAATGATCCAGAACGTAGATCATCTGGTCTTCAGTCAGCCTAAATGGTCCCAGGTCCCCCTTCTGTTCACTGAGCTCCACTGTGAGCTCCCACATCAGATTCCAGTCCCTGATGTTGGCCCACAACATGCTCAAGGGTTTCCACACCGACATCCAGCATGTAACTTCGTAGGATATAAGAAAACTTCCATTTGGTTGGTTCTATACATTCCGCTGGATATTCTGGTGCGGTAAACTCCACAGAACCACCCAGACTCATTTCAGTTGCGTAAAAACATGGTTGTGCTGACCTTCACTTTGTGTCTCTGAAACAAAGAGACAGATAAAACATCAGCCTTCACAGGATGACGGCGTCACACTTCCTCCGTCAGCTGAGCAGGAACAGATGGTCATCAATATGTCACGGACGCCATGAATCAGTGCTTGTTTCCGTGGAGACAGGATGGGCTGCAGACAGATTCTGGTGTCCTGGTGGTCCATCGTTGAGGATACATCGCAGTTCTGGTGTTCCTCTGACTAAAAATATATCTACAACAGAACATCAATCCAGAACTAGAAGGGATATTGTTTTTGCTCATCTAAACTCATATCCTGTCAAACTTGAAATATGCAGCACTTCCTTCAATGTTAAATGGTCAAAGTTTTGTTTCCTGGCCCAATAAAATAATTTGGGCTGTGGCAGTCAAGGAATTTTGTGACCTCCTTTGAGACAGCTGGTTCAATGATTTGAGTGGTGGACTTACTGGGGTTATAGGGAATGATGCTGTAGTTAGTGAAGCATTGATCACTTTAGTGACTGCTGTAGCATGGTTGGAGCTATGGCTAGCAGGGGGGTTAGGGTTAAGGTGGTGGGAATAGGGTCCAGTGGGTTAGGGTAAGGGTGGTAGGTTAGGGTCCAGTGGGTTAGGGTTAGGTTGGTGGGAATAGGGTCCAGTGGGTTAGGGTGGTGGGTAAGGGTGGTGGGAATAGGGTCCAGTGGGTTAGGGTTAGGATGGTGGGAATCGGGTCCAGGGGGCTAGGGTTAGGGTAGTGGGATGGGTTCAGTGGGTTAGGATCAGGGTTGGGGTGATGGTAATATGTACCAGTGGGTTAGGATTAGGGTGGTGGGAATAGGGTCCAGGGGGATAGGGTTAGGGTGGTGGGAATATGGTCCAGGGGGTTAGGGTTAGGGTAGTGGGATGGGTTCAATGGGTTAGGATCAGTGTTAGGGTGATGGGTTTAGGGTCCAGTGGGTTAGGGTGGTGGGAATAGGGTTCAGTGGGTTAGGGTTAGGGTGGTGGGAATAGGGTCCAGTGGGTTAGGGATAGGGTGGTGGGAATAGGATCCAGTGGGTTAGAGTTAGGGTGGTGGGAATAGGGTCCAGTGGGTTAGGGTTAGGGTGGTGGGAATAGAGTCCAGTGGGTTAGGGTTAGGGTGGTGGGAATAGGGTCCAGTGGGTTAGGGTTAGGGTGGTGGTAATAGGGTCCAGTGGGTTAGGGTTAGGGTAGTTGGAATAGGGTCCAGTGGGTTAGGGTTAGGATAGTGGTAATAGGGTTCAGTGGGTTAGGGTTAGGGTGGTGGGAATAGAGTCCAGTGGGTTAGGGTTAGGGTGGTGGGAATAGGGTCCAGTAGGCGGGATGTGGCGTTTTGCACTTAAAATCAATGTAAACTGTGTTCTTTCACCAATGCATTTGTCTTTGTATATTTGGGTTGTTTGATCCGCTTTAATTACTGTAAAGCACTTTGATCCGCTCTGGTTGTTGTGAAGTGCTATATAAATAAACATTGATTGATTGATTGATTTATTGATTTATGTAGGGCCCGTGAGAAGCTTTGGTAACTCAAACAAAGCTATAGTCTAGTATAGCTAGTCTGGGATGGAGGACAGCAGGAAGTGGCCCAGTGGAGCTGGGGGGGCGCTACACAACCAGCACATTCCCTCCAACCGGTGCTATCCTCGCGAGGGGGGGCTGTTTACAGGAGTTGGACCAGGCTCCTGATCTGAACTGGTGTATATTTCCATTTAATGGTGATCAGAAGCCCCGTAGCACCCCTTCATCCGCCATGCCGGGGGTGTCGTAAATGGCAGGTTGGTGGACGACGCCATAGGTGTGGCGCCGTTTTCCCGCCATTTCCTGGTGGGATCCAGGTCTCTGTTAGCCCGGGGCCGCCCCACAGACCTACAGAGAGGCGGACTGGTTGTGGACGCTGGTGTGTGATTTACGTTTCCGGGGAAAGTCGAAGCGACTGCGGGGGCCAGAGATAACAGGGGTGGTGGGAAAGGAAATAATCCTGGGAGAACTTTCCAGCCACAGATGGGTGTGGGGCTGACTGGATAAGGCCACCTCTGGTTGGTTACATGCTAACAGTTTGAACTTTGACACCACTTCCAAATAGATTTTTATTCATCTTTATAGAAAATATTCAGATTACAGGTAGATCCCTGATACCGACGTAAAAACTTCTGGTGACAGACTCATTACGGCCTTGATTAATGGCCTCTTCTTCAAACATACAGCAGTATGGAACGCAAAATAAAGAGAAGAAAATACTCTCTGAACCCAGTAAAACAAAAATATTCAATTTAAATGACTTCCTATGTATTGATTTATATAAATCAGTTTTCCTTTTCCCCCAGTTTGATTCAGCTTTCATCACGTTAGAACTAATATTTCTACATCCTGCCTATCATGAGGATGGGCCTCACTGGGGGTTGGATGTTGACACATTTCAAACCAGGGCTAGAGAGCTGTTACTTCCTGCTGGGCTTCAGGAAGCGCTGGGACTTCTGTCTGACCATGCGGTGCTGCTGCTGGGCCACCTGAGCCTCACAGATGGCCGCCTGCAGCTTCTGTGGGTCAAACAGCAACCCGGAGAGGGCTCAGGGTCAGGGTTAGGGGTCAGGGCTCAGGGGTTAGGATTAGGGGTCAGGGTTAGGGGTCAGGTGTTTGGGATTAGGGTTGAGGGTTACAATTAGGGTTAGGTCAGGGTTAGGGGCCAGGGTTAGGGCTCAGGGTCAGGTCAGGGTTAGGGGT